CCTGCCCGCGCCGCCGCCCCCCCCGCCCCGCTCGCCGCCGGGCCCTGCGGCCCCCCGGGACCGACCCCCGCCCCGTGTCACCGCCCGGTCCCCATGGCGACGGGGCGCCCGCGGCCCCCCGGGTGTCCCCCCGCCGTGCCCATGGCAACGGGGCTCGGCTGGCCCGTGTCACCGCCCGCCGCCCCCCCACCCCAAGTGTCACCTCCCGGCCCCGCGCTGTCACCTCCCCCCCTCTGCCCCCGCCGCGGCGGGTCCTGCCCGTCCCGTGGGACCGGCACGGGGCCGGTGTAAGCGGCTTAGCGGGGACACGGGGACGTCCCCGCCGCCCCCGGGCTCTGCAGCGGCCCCCCCGCGGGGTCCCCATCACCTTTGAGGGGGTCCCCATCACTCTCGGGGGTGTCCCTGTCACCCCGAGGGTGTTCCCGTCACCGTGTGGGGGGGGGAACCCATCACCTCGGCGGAGTCCCTGTCACCCCGGGGGTCCCATCACTGTGGGGGGGGGGGTCCCCATTACCCCGTGGGGTTCTCCATCACCCTGGGGGTCCCTTCCCTCTGGGGGGGGGGTCTCCATCACCCCGCGGGGTTCCCCATCACCCTGGGGGTTCCCCATCACCCCGCGGGGTTCCCCACCACCCCGGGGGGGTGCCCCCCGCCCTGACCCCGCACCCCTGTGTCCGCAGGCTCCGGAGCCGGTGCGGCCGCGCTGCCCCTCGCCCCTGCGGCCGCCGGCCGGCCCCGAGCGCACCTCGGAGCGGGAGACGCAGACGGCTGAGCTGTCCCTGACCGTGGTGGCGGCCGTGCAGGCCGTGGAGAGGAAGGTGGACTCCCACTCCACCCGCCTGCTCGACCTGGAGGGTCGCACGGGGATGGCCGAGAAGAAGCTGATCGACTGCGAGAAGACGGCGGCGGAGCTGGGGAACCAGCTGGAGAGCAAGTGTGCGGCACTGGGCACCCTCATCCAGGAGTACGGGCTGCTCCAGCGGCGCCTGGAGAACATGGAGAACCTGCTCAAGAACAGGAACTTCTGGATCCTGCGGCTGCCCCCGGGCAGGAAGGGGGAAGTCCCCAAGGTAACGGTGTCCTGGGGTGCAGGGTCTGCACCCGAAATGCTCACGGAGGGCAGGACTGAGGGGGGGGAGCGGGGACAGCCCCGGCACAGGTGAGTTGCTCCCCATTGGAGCTGCTCCTTCCCAGCTCATCCCCCTCTGGGACTAAAGTACAGTGGGATGCAGGACCCAGGGGAACATCCCGGTGCTCAGGCTGGAGGTTTCAGTTCTGCACAGCCCAGGAGCCATTTATGCTTTTTTTGTTTATTTTTTTATACCACCATTTGAACAAAACCACACCAGATTTAGTGGTTCTTTCTCTTTGACCACCTTGGTGCTGCAAAGTCTCCCAGCCTGGGGAAGGAGAAAGCTCTGGGATTTGGGGAAGGCAGATGAGTTCCCTGGGATTAGCCGAGCTCCGGAAGGAGCCCACCATCAATATTCAGTTCCTACTTGAATTTCATGATCTTCCCACTAAAAGAAAGTCTGCAGATGGGACCAGGGGAAAGGGATTGTGACTGGAGAGAGGGGAGAGGGCTGGGAAAAGGGGAGCTCAGACCCTGCACCTCATTAGTGCAGTGAGGGAGCAGAGGTGAAGCACCACATTTCCCTCTGAAGAGCTGCATTCCCACACGGCACAGTTTGCACGTCCTGGATTTATCCTTAGGAATTATTGCTTGGCAAACAGGCTGGGAATCCATGGCCTGCTCCTGGCTGGTGGGCACACAATAACTAAGGATAACAGGGAGCCCTGCAGGCCTGGGTAGAGCTTTCCCTGGAGTTCAGGGGTAATTGAATCTGGGCGTTACGTCAGCTCATCCATAGGGATGAGTCCAGCCCAGCACCCAGGTTTTCTGTCCTTTGTGGTCCCTCCAAGCCTGGTCACTCTGCAGAGTGCAGGGACCGAGAGGAGGAGCTTGGGGTCCTTTGGGAAGTACCAAAGTCTGGATTCATCACTGGGAGCCATCCGTTTGGCTGAGACCTTTAATGCCACAGAAATACCTGCCCAGGAGTTGTATAAATGTAAGAACCAACTGGTTGATGGCCGTGAAGGAGCTGAAGCCTGGCTGTGTCCGAGGGGGAGCTGCTGTCTCCGGGCTCCTGGGGAGGGAGGCAGCCCTTGAACCGGTGCTCTTGTGACCCAGGTGCCGGTGACATTTGACGACGTATCCGTCTACTTCAACGACAAGGAATGGGAGAAGCTGGAGGAGTGGCAGAAGGAGCTGTACAAGAACGTGATGAAGGGGAACTACGAGTCACTGATCTCCCTGGGTAAATATGGGGGCACGTTCTCTGGGGCTCCTTCTGGCTCCTCCTTGGAGATCCCCTTGGGTGAGACTCAAATGTCCCATTTTAAAGACCTAAAAGCACAGGAGGGTGTTTCTAGTTTGGGTTCATTCCCAGCTTGTGCCTTCGTGCTGTCCTGGCTGAGGGGGATCTCCATAGGCAGGTGGGCTGGAGACCTCCCAAACCTCTTCCAGCTGGAGTTAAATGGTGAAAAACCAGCACCTTCTCCGTGGCTGTTGGAAGGGCTTCCCTGCACCTTCTGGGTCTGCAGGGGGTACCAGCCCACCCACCCCCTTAGAGGGAACTTTTGCAGAGGGAAAAATTGTCTGATGTGATCTGTGCTTTGGGGCATTTCCTGCGGAGCTTCAGGAGAAATCCCAGCTCTGCTGGGAGCTGAGAAATGCCTTTGGCTGCAGGAGAACCAGGATTTGTCTGAGAAGTTCTGAAACCCCACCAGAAAAACACAGGGTTTGGGTTTCTTGCCTAAGGCAGTTCCTCTGTGTGGCACCTCAGCTCCTGCCTCTGGCAGCGCCCAGCTTTGCTCCCCACAGCCCCTCTGGATGTTCCTGAGTGTCTTCCCACGTCCCCCAGGCCCTGGGGAGAGGTGGAAGGCAGCCTTAGACTCCCAGTGCAGTAATCCCTCTCTCCATCCCTCTGTCTCTCAACAGACTATGCAATTTCCAAACCTGGGGTTTTGTCTCAGATCGAGCAAGGAGAGGAATCGCGGGGCAGGAGCGAGCAGGACTTGGAGGAGAGTGAGATCATTACTGATGCCACAGCAGGTGAGACCTTGGCACAAGGGGAGCCCTGGTTGTGTCCCGAGGAGCTGCTCATCCCTGGGCTAAAGCAGGTGTTGCTGGGAGCTGGGGGGGGTTACCAGGAGGAGCCTTGCCTAGGAACGGGATAAGTTTGGCCGATCAGAGATTTGATGTCCAGGTACAGCTCAGCATATAAACCAGGGCAGGAGGAGCCCGGAGAGCTGGGCACTGGGAGCCATCAGCAAGGGAAGCATCTGCAACCAGACCAAGTCCTCAGGGAGCCAGTGTGCCCGGCAAGGAAGGAGAATCGGGTCCCACTGGGAAAGCCCATCCACCCAGAAAATCCTCTCCACCCTCTCTTTGTGTGGATGGTGTCTGGGTTTATCCTTGGAGTGCCCTCCCAGGCAGGGAAATCTGCTGCCATCCTGTGTGCAGGGAGAAGGGGTGCTGAGGGGTTGCTCCAAGGGCAGGGCTGGGCTGGGAGAAGGGCACCAGGGATCCCGAGTCCTGGAGCAACTCCTGCTCTGGGATAAGGGGGCTGATAAATAGGTGTCCTAGAAGAGGTCAGCTCCACTGGCCATCCCTGGTGCCAGGCTGTGGATGTGGGGTCACTCTGACCCCCTGCCTGTGCTCTTCACCACAAGGATCTTGAAATTAAATTGAGGCCAACGGGAAGAGGAAAATCATCGGGATCTGCAGCCGGGGGATGTGGGGAGCCCAAGGGGTGCTGAGCTGTGGCACCGAGTCCCAGGCTGGGCAGAGACAGTCCCCTGTGCCTGCGGAGGATCCCAGGGGAGAGGCGGGAGCGTGGCAGGGATGGGAGAAGGGCAGGGGCTGGAGGGAAATGGTCGAGCAGGTGAAACCCCTCAGCGGGATCAGCAGCCGGAGCCGGCAGGGATGGCTGTGAGCGGTGTCTCCATCCCGGCCCCCGGGAATGACAGCGGGCGGGAATCTCTCTTTGCTGCAGCTGGAATAAGGGTTGTGATCAAAACGGAGGAGCTCCTTCCCGAGGACAGCCCCGAGAACCCCGAGCTGCACGGCATGTCGGGGCAGTCGGAGGGCAGCTTCCAGAGCCCGGACGAGGAGGCGGCTTGTGAGAGCCCCTACGGCTCCGTGTCCCCTCCCAGGGACCTCCCGGGAACCAGCCTGGGGGACTCGTCCGAGTACGGAGCCGACTTCAACGAGATCCAGAGAGTCATCGTTCACCACGGGAGCTGCACAGGTGGGACCTCGGCACGCGGCTCCGGGGCTGGGGGGTCAGGAGAAGGTGGGGAACGGGGTGGATGGACGGGCAGGGTTAAATCCCCCCCGAATCAGCACCAGCAGGAAAGTTTCTGGCTGCAGCAGCCTCGGGAGCGGCTCTGGTCAGAGGTGAGGGGTCCTGCTGGTTGACCAGTGTGGGGGTCGCTTGGGGCAGGTCCACTGGACAGGGAGGAGCATGGCAGGACCCCCGTGGCATCCAAGCTGTCCGGAGGGACGAGGAAGGGTGAGGTTGTTTAGTGAAGAGACAATGGCACCAGGCCTTTCATGTGTGGAATCCTGCCAGTCGGGTGGCACACGTGGGCCAGTCCTACAGACCTGCTCTGAGGGGGGAGTGGGAGAGCAAGGAGATGGGAGGTTGGGAATGGCAGGTTCCCTCCTCCTGACAGCTCTGTGGTGGTGTAACACAAACCAAGAGGGAGACAGTTGGGCTCCTGAGGGCCTTGTGGATCCTGTGGTCTGCTCATGGTTTGGGAAGGGAAAGCAGCCAAGCCACCAGTGGGGCTGGAGATGATCCTTGTCCAAGGTGTGGGGCCTGGCTGGTGGGGCTGAGTGGGAGCTGTGGTGGCACTGACTGGGATGGGGGTGCTGAGCCCCCGGATCTGCAGAGGAGGCAGGGAGGAAGAGGACCTGGAATTCCCCAGGACCACTCTGCTGGAGGGAAGAGAGCCACAGCTTTGATACATCTGGGCTGCTTCTTGGGAAAGCATGGCTGCTCTTCCTGGAAGAGCACATGGGTCTGGCTCAAAGTGCAGCACAGGGTGACATGAGGGATCTGCTGTGGATTTCCTCCGTGTCCCTGGGATGTGCAGTGACGTGAGGGATCCGCTGTGGATTTCCTCCGTGTCCCTGGGATGTGTCCCTGGGATGTGCAGTGACATGAGGGATCCACTGTGGATTTCCTCCGTGTCCCTGGGATGTGTCCCTGGGATGTGCAGTGACATGAGGGATCCACTGTGGATTTCCTCCGTGTCCCTGGGATGTGTCCCTGGCAGGGCAGGTCTCACCAAACAAAAACACCGGGTCACTTCCGCCGTCGGTGACAGGAGGGGGAGCCTGACGTGCGTCCATCCACCCATCCCAGTGCTGGTCACGCCGGGAAGGAGGGGGGTGAGGCTGAGGGAAGGGGACGTTCCCAGGCTGGGTGTGCTGTCCCAGGAGCGGAGCTGGATGCCAGCAGCCCGGGGCTGTGTGTCCGTCGAGCAGTGCCGTGCCGGGAGCGTTGTTGTATCCCAGTGAAACGGCAGCAGATGGAGCTGCTCCGAAATCACTCGGCCACATGAGCCTTCACAAACTGATGGTGCTTTTACCCCCCACATCCTGCAGCACCATGAAATTGCCAAGCGTTTTTGCAGGAGAGTCTGAGGGCCCCTCAGGGGCTGTTTGTCTGAACTCCGCGTTGAGGGGTGACATGGCCCTTCCCAGCGCTCCGGGCTCCGTCCGCAGCCGGCTCGCTCTGGGTGCTGGGGCAGAGCAGGCAGGGGCAAACAGCTGCAGGAGCCCGTCAGATGTTCCTGTAGCACCCCCCACGTGCATAAAAGGCCACCCCGTCCCACCCCGTGACCCTGACGCTGTTCTGGTTTCCCCCCGCAGAGGACGGGATCGTGATCAAGACGGAGGAGGAGGAGGAGGACGACCCCGACACGCTGGAGCCGTGCGCCATGTTCTCGGGCAGGGCCGAGCCGCCGGCGTTCCCCAGCCACGAGGCCGGGCTGGGCTGCGAGGCGCAGTGCAGCTCCAAGGCCCAGCCCAGGGGCCTGGCAGCCCGCGTGAGGAAGCCGTCGGCCTGCGAGAGGGACCCCGGGGAGATGAAGGCGGCCAGCGCCCAGCAGCGGAACCGGACGCGGGAGAGACCCTACATCTGCCCCGAGTGCGGCAAGAGCTTCATGCTCAAGATCAACTTCATGATCCACCAGCGCAACCACCTCAAGGAAGGGCCCTACGAGTGCCACGAGTGCGACCTCAGCTTCCGCAACAAGCAGCAGTTCCTGCTGCACCAGCGCAGCCACACGCGCCGCGGCGTGGGGGTCCCGCGGCGCCCCGAGCACGGCCTCAAGCCCCCGGCGCGGCCCCCGCCCCCGGGGAAGCCCTACAAGTGCTCCGAGTGCGAGAGCAGCTTCAGCCACAAGTCGAGCCTCAGCAAGCACCAGATCACCCACGTCGGGGAGCGGCCCTTCACCTGCGGCGAGTGCCGGAGGAGCTTCCGCCTGCAGATCAGCCTCCTCATGCACCAGAGGATCCACGCCGGCAAGAACGAGATGGCCTTCCTGTGCCCCCAGTGCGGGAAGAACTTCACCCGGCCCTCCCACCTGCTGCGGCACCAGCGGACTCACACCGGCGAGCGGCCCTACCAGTGCAGCCAGTGCGAGAAGACCTTCAGCGAGAAGTCCAAGCTGACCAACCATTACCGCATCCACACGCGGGAGCGCCCGCACGCCTGCGCCGTCTGCGGGAAGGGCTTCATCCGCAAGCACCACCTCCTGGAGCACCAGCGCATCCACACGGGCGAGCGGCCCTACCACTGCACCGAGTGCGGCAAGAACTTCACGCAGAAGCATCACCTCCTGGAGCACCAGCGGGCGCACACCGGAGAGCGGCCCTACCCCTGCACCGAGTGCACCAAGTGCTTCCGCTACAAGCAGTCCCTCAAGTACCACCTGAGGACGCACATGGGAGAGTGAGGGGCTGCCCGACGGCTTCCTCCCCCTCCTCTCCCTCCCTCCACCCTTCCTCCTCCTCCTCCTCCTCCTCCTCCTCCTCCTCCACTCATCTCTCCCGCCCTCCCTCCATCCGTCTCCCCCCACCCCAGCTCAGGGCATGGACATCAAGGAAGCTTTGTGTGGTAGCGCCGCTGGTCTGGTGGAGACTGGGCTGATTGGAAATAAATTAATGAATTAAAGCAAGCAACGCGCGGCAAAATTAAAAGATTATATATATATAAAATTAACAGAAGCAGCTGATTTAGGGGGAATCCTCACCACCAACAAAAGAAACCTGTACAGGGTGTTTTGCCGGAGTAGGACTCGTAACTGCTTTTTAAATCTACTGTTTGGTTTTTTAAAATAAATGTGGAGGAACTTTTTAATTGATAAGCAACCTTAGGATGGGCAAGATTTTTCTGGGTGGTTATTTTTTTTTGTTAAATGCTCTGTAGGCTGATTCTGGCACAGTCACTTTTTGTCCAGGAGCTCTGCAGAGGTGCTGCCTCGTCCCAGCTTTCCGGGCTGGACGCGACAGCCGCTCGGCAGCGCGTGGTTACAGAAGCTCCGGCCGGGGGGAGGTGAGTAATTAACAGATCCAGCTAACGAGGAGGTTCTGCGTGTGTCTAGATTGGAAGCACCGGTAGGTGCCTGCCCGGCTCGCGGGGCTGTGATGCACTCCTGAATTATACAATAGAATAAAATTCTAGTTGCAGTAAAAGAGCCTTTTTCTGGTAGGACCGCTCAGCAAGGCTCCTCCAAACACTCGTCCCTGGCCCTCAGTCCTCCCGGGGGTCCGGCCTTCCTGCTGCCACGAGGGCATCGGGGGGCTGGGGGTCTGGCCACGGCTGCTGTGGGGTCACCGTGGACCTGAGCACAACACCTTGCTGTGTTCAACTGCTCTTCTGCTCTCTTTGCACTAGTGGCAGGAGCAGCGGGATTCCTGCCCCAGATGAGGAGCAGGTCCTGGGCTGGCTCCAAGAAAAGCCCTGATCAGCTCGGGGCTGCCTGTGGGAGATCTCCCAGTTCCCAGGTCCTCGCTGCCGGGGTCCCTCACCACGTGTCACAGGGGGTGGGACACGGGGCTGTCTCCTTGCCATCTCCACCAACTCGGTTCTCTGTGATCCGGTTTGTCCTCTGCATCTCCTGAGGTTGGGCTGTGGATGCACCCGAAGGGCCAGGCCGTGGCCAGAGGGGTGACACCGACTCCCTGGAGCACACTGGGCTCTTTCCCAGCAGTGTCAGATCTCATGTGGGACAGTGGCATCAATAAACAGAGCGATGATGGAATAAGTTGTCAGGACCTGTTAATGCCTTTGCAGGACCAAAGTCCTCATCCAGGACTTTCCTGGTGTATGAAACCTTCCTGAATTTGGAATTTGCAGCCTCTTCCGTGCTAGAAAGCGCCGGAGGGCAGTGCAGCCATGTGGAGCTGCCAAGAGCCACCAGCCAGTCACTGCCGTGGACAGGAGCATTTTGGGGCTGCCAGGACAGGCTGCAGCCAAGGTTCAGCCTTCCCACTGCTCTGGTGGTGCCTACAACTCCCTGGAAGCATTTTGGGGTTTCAGGTCAGGGTGTGCAGCCTGACGTGGGTTGACATTTCCATCCCTGGAAGTGGTGGAAGGTGTCCCTGCCCGTGGCAGAGAGGTGGAACAAAACAATGTTTAAGGTCCCTTCCAACCCAAACCATTCTGGGACTCCATGCAAAGTGCCACAATGGGGCTGGATGTCCTGGGAGGGAGGTGTGGGTACAGGACAGGGGGTCTGGCTGCAGCCCCGGGCTCCTCAGCAGCTTCCCTGCATCCCTCTGATCCGGACTAGATGTAATTAAGGGGAAGAAGGAAATGAAAAGCAGAACTGACTCTGTTTCTGAGCAGCTCGTGTTCGTCACACTGGCAGCACCACGGACCTGGCAGCACCTTTTTCCTTGCTAAAAATGGATGGATTCAGCTTTTTTTTGGCAAAACCAGCACTAAGGAGCCCTTACCAGCCTGGCTGCCCCTCTGCAGTGCCAGGACCTTGGTGTGGCCAGGCTGGCAGTGCCCCTGCTCTGCTCTGCATCGCTGGGCCCCGCGTGGCACCTCCTCTCCCCCTCACGCTGCTCCTTCCCCACTGCACACGGACATAACTGCGCTGGTCGCTGGATTCTGCCAGGATTTAACAACATCCAGGTGACCTTGAGCAGCTCAAGTGTCAACAATCCATCTCCCACGAGCCGGGGGGGATATGACATGGCCATCAAGGCCCCCCTTGGCCGGCACTGAGCTCAGGGTGGCGGCGGCACCGAAAGGCCACGGCAGCGGCGGTGCTGTGGGCACAGATCCGGGGTGGGCACGAGCAGGAGCAGCCTCGCTGCCCCCCCTGAGCCGTCTGCAGGGGATCAGCAGGTTATCACCCTCCACTCAGCCACGGGTGGGTTCGTTTTAGGGGTTGTTCAGTGCTGCAAACACCGCTCAGCCTCGGGGGTGAACGGCACCGTCCCGCTGCAGGACCCACCGGCTCCTCGAGGGCTTCCATAGGGTTGTCCCACAGTGCCGGGGGAGCCAGACATGGAAGCACCCAGAAGGCAGCAGCTCTGGGGACAGGGAACAAGCAGGAGCCACCACAGCTGGGCTCTGAGTACCCCCTGGCAGCACCCCAGAGGCTCTGGATGAGCAGGGACACCCCGGGGAGCTGCAGGGTTGGGGAGTGGGGGGCTGGAAGCGCTGTGCCGACCCCTCTGGAGCCACTGGGCCAGGGTTGGGGACCCACTGGGGTGGGGAAGCTGGAGCATTCGGCAGGACATGGCCATGACAGGGCAATAACTGCCTGGGGAGGGGGTGTTTGACTGCTTTATTGTGTCAGGGGTGCACAATGCTCCTTGGGCCCCAAAATGCTCCTTGGGCCCCAGCTGGCAGCATGTGAGGGTGGCAGAGGAGCCAAACCGATGGCTGAACACGGGACTGATTTTGGGCACCCAGCACCCACGGCAGCAGCACAGAAGGGGCAACGTGGTCCCTGTAGAGAGGCACGAGGTGGCTCAAGAGGCTCCTGGGAACCCTCTGCCCTTCCCCAAGCACTGCTGCTGCTCTCCAGATGTTTTGGAGCTGTGACAAGAGGGAAGGAGACACTGGCAGAGGTGCTGGCAGCCATGGGATGTGGGGATGGAAGCTGGAGCCCCCCTGCCCGGGGCAGCCGTGGGTTTGGGGGGATCTCAGGAGAGCAGGACGGGGCTGGCAGCGCACAATGAGGCAGCCCCGGCAAAGGATTACCCTCGGCTCCCACAGGGCACAGCTGCCACTCCAACACAATCCCTTCCAACTGCATTAACCCCAGCACGGGCGGCTGGGAAGCGGCTCCGGCGGGCGCGAGGCCTCGGGAAGGATCCCAGGGCCGGGCCTTGGGAAGGATCCAAGCGCCAGACCTCGGGAAGATCCTGCTTGGCACCTCCACCCTGCCCGGGGTGAAGCTCCCGGAGGCCTTCCAGCTTATTAATCATTGAATAAATTTAAGCATCCCGAGCATCCACGGGGGTTGGCAGCGCTGAGCCGGAGCAGAGCGTGCCGGCTCTGCCCCGGGGCAAGGCTGGGATCAGGGCTCACACTCAGCCCGGCCCTCCCTGTCTGTGCCCGCTCACATGGGCTGCCCACGGGCCCGCGCGTGTGCAGAGATGGGCACCCGCAGCACACACAGAGGGGCCCCGTGTCTGTGCCCCCTCCTGGTGTTTCCCTGCTTGTTCCTCCCTGGTTTGCACACACACGCACGGGGACACAGACACAGACACACACACACAGACACAGACAGACACACATACACAGACAGACACAGAGACACACAGACAAACACAGACACACACACAGACACACACAGACAAACACAGACACATACACAGACACAGACACACACACAGACACAGACACAGACACACACAGACACACACACAGACACACACACAGACACACACACAGACACACACACAGACACACACAAAGACACGCAGACATACACACACAGACAAACACAGACACATACACAGACACAGACACACACACAGACACACACAAAGACACACAGACACACAGACACACACACAGACACACACACACACACACGCCCCCAGCCCGTCCCGGCCCCGCAGTCCCGCCTGTCCCCGCCCCATCCCGCCCCGTTCCCCCCGGTCCCGCCCGGTGCCGGCACTTTCGGTTTCCCCTTTCCCATGGCCCGGGAGGTGCTGGCCCTGGGCGAGCAGCTGGTGGCCGAGGCCACCTGCGCGGTGTGCCTGGAGCTGTTCTCGCAGCCCGTGCTCACCGAGTGCGGGCACAGCTTCTGCGAGCGCTGCCTGCGGGCCGTGCTGGGCTCTCCGCCGGGCCCCGCCGCCTGCCCGCAGTGCCGGGCCGCGCTGTCGCCGGGCTCGCTGCGCCCCAACCGCTCGCTGGGGGCCGTGGCGGGGCTGGCGGGGGCCCTGGAGGAGGCGGCGCGGCGGCCCCGCTGCCCCGAGCACGGCGAGCCCCTGGCGCTGTTCTGCGAGCCCTGCGCGGCCCCGCTGTGCCCGCTCTGCATGGACGGGCCCGCGCACCGCCCGCACCGCGCCCGCGCCGCCCAGAGCGCTGCCAGGGAGTTGCGGGTACGGGATGGGAAAGGGCTGGGGACGGGCTGGAGACGGGCTGGGGATGGGCTAGGGAACGGGCTGGGGATGGGCTAGGGAACGGGCTGCCCGGGAGATGCGGGTACGGGCTGGGAGCGGGCTGGGGACGGGCTGGGGACGGGCTGGGAGCGGGCTGGGAGCGGGCTGGAGACGGGCTGGGAACAGGCTGGGAGCGGGCTGGGAGCGGGCTGGGAGCGGGATGGGAACGGGCTGGGAACAGGCTGGGAGCGGGCTGGGGACGGGCTGGGAGCGGGCTGGGAGCGGGCTGGAGACGGGCTGGAGACGGGCTGGGAGCGGGCTGGGAGCGGGCTGGGAGCGGGCTGGGAGCGGGCTGGGAGCTTCACGGCTGCGGGTGGGGGGAGCAGGGCACACGTCGGGGCATGGGCTGGGGGTACCTCGGGACACAGGTTGGGGTCCCCTCAGGGCACAGGTCAGGGTCCCTTTGGGGCACAGGTTGAGGGCCTCTCCAGGCATGGGCTGGGGTCCCATCCGGGCACACATCTGGGGTTCCTTCAGGGACAGGTTGGAGTCCACTCTGGGCATGGGCTGGGGGCTCCTCGGGACACAGACTGGGGTCCCTTCGAGGGACAGAGTCAGAGTCCCCTCAGGGCACAGGTTGGGGTCTGCTCTGGGCATGGGCTGGGGGCTCCCCTGGGCATGGACCTGGGTCTCCCCTGAGCACACATCTGGGGTCCCTTCGAGGGACAGGCTGGGGTCCCCTCCAGGCCTGGATGTGGGTCCCCTCCACACATAGGTGGGGTCCCTTCCAGGCAGGCATCTGGGATCCCTCTCAAACACAGGTCAGGGTCTCCTCTGAGCACGGACTGAGGTCCCCTCAGGGCACAGTCTGCTTCCCCTGCACACACAGATTAGGGTGTCCAGCCACAGATTTGGGGCCTCATCCAGCTGCTGGCTGGGTCCCTGTCTGGGTACAGGTTTGGGGTCCCCATCTAGCCGTGGGCTGGGGTCCCTTATCCCAACCTGCTGGGGCTGCTGGTTCTCCCGTGGCTCCCACTGCCCATCGCCTGCCCCCAGCCCTCCCAGGAGCACAGGTCCCTCTCCCCCCACCTCTGTATCCCCACACAGTCCCTGGTGCC